GCGCGGGGGGGGGGGGGGGAGGAGAACAGAAATCTTCCGCACATTTATGTATTTAACGATTGCAGATGGTTCCGCCCATGCTTTTCCTCTGTTTTCGGGCGCGCATTATGATTTACGAATTCAGTAGTACAATTTAACGAACTCCATATTATATCGGAAGCTTTTTTAAAAAATTTATGATTTAAACAAAAATTCAATGCTTGTTTTTGTAAAAGTATCATTTCATTTCCAATAAACTAAAAGTTGAATGTAATTACACACCTGTTCTAATCCTCAGTGCTTTTGTTATAATTTTGTTTAAACGTTAAGGGATGTAATATTGGCATCTTCCTATTTATTTAAATCATCTATTTTTTTCAGATTAATCCAATGTATTTCCATTGTATTTTCAAATTAGGAAAGTTGATTTATTGTATTGGGTTATCTGGAAAGTTCGTGCCGCAAAAGATTTAAATTTAATGTATACTAAAATTTAAATCTTCTGCATTTCAATTGTCCTTCAAAATCGGTACGAACTTTCCGGACAACCCAGTATAATATTTTTGAGTGCAACACATCAAATGAATGTATAGTATCAATAAAACAGTTTTCTCTGTTTCTTATTCTATTTTTTTTTTTTGGTTCAGCTAATGTACTTTTTTCTCTCCACTTATTTTAATAGAACTACTTCACTTGAGTATCTAAATAATTCTAAAATCAAAATATTCTTCTTTTTTTTCTTCTTCTTGGATAATGACTCCCGCCTCCCGAAATAATAAACGATGGTCGATACGGCCAGATCACGTCCTAATGAGATATACAAAAAAAACAAAAAAAATAATGCAATGCTCGCGAAAATGGCGAAGCCGGTGTCCGCATGGACACCTGGTGCCTGCTTCTACCATCGTCACGCCACATGGACGGATCAGGATGAACGAGTCGTCCAAAACCCACGGCACAGCTGCGAGTTTCAATGTTCAGTAAAAGTCAGCAACATTTTCAAAAATATGAAAACATCCGAGCCGAAACGCATCCGCCACAGTCAAGTAGTCCTTCGGAACTTAGTCAAAATTTTGAATGACTGTGAATGTTATTATTTTCGATTAAACAATAATATTCGCGGGAAACAAAAGCTTTGTATATATCTCTTACTGTAGCAGCACTTTCCATAGACGCAATGAATATTCCACCGAGGATCAAATGAAAAGCCTTTGTACCCTTTTGCAGTAGAAATAATATCATTTTCTGTATGTGTAACGGAGCCACATACCATTCAACATTATATCTACAAAACAATGATAAATTAATGTAAAACCTAACATGAAAAAATAAAAATATTTGTTATAGTATAAATTGTTATAGTATGTTCGTTCAAGAATAGTATTGTTTCTGAACTTTCGTTAATTCAGCATTTTGTTACAAGAATTTATAATACAATTACTGAAATATGAACGTACGCAAATTTCTTACACGGTAGCAAATATGTATTCATTGTGATCTGTAATATCTTGTGCGGTATAATTGGACAAAAATATGTACATGTAGAGAACACTTATGTATATAAGTTGTAATACAAGTTGCCCTGTGCTATTATATGATATGATCTAAAAAATATAAAACATGTGTTATATATGTATTTTAACTTTTTACAAGTAAGAAATTTTCTGTAATTCCTTAGGACAAATTATAGAACTTGCATTACATAATAAATTATTTTCTTTATTGATTGCGCATATTAGAAAACTGTATTTTTTTTTACGTTTGCGAATAATGCACATATCTTACGATTATAAAAAAAAGAACGAAGAATAATCATGAGTTTTCGAATGATCTTTTTAATGAAAATTATTTTTTCATAAGAATTCTAATTAAAGATTCTTTATTTAATCTTATAATATCATGAAAATTGTATCTTTCATGGAAAGATACGTTTAATAGTAAAATAATAAAACTTACTTGAACAAGAGTGCTGCTTACGCAAATCATACCAGCCGCTATTAAACAGAAGAAGGATCCTTCAAAACTCTTTAGAAAAACTTGAGAAAACCTTCAGAAATGAAAGAAATATTAGTATAACATATTATACAGTTATTATAGAAAGTGTACTGACTCTGTAGCTTTGCGATGAATGTCTATCGCACAGATTATTCTTTTATAAATTATAACCATTTGTTCTTCATTAATATCTTGTTGCATATTAATTGCCATTGCCTTCTTAATACGGAAACTATATGAATACATATTTTTTTCTGTAAGTCCTTAATTTTTCTAGATTTAATTAAGAATAAACGAAGAATAGTTTTTACTTTTTAAAACAAATGATTGTCTTGAGTTCTACCTTGCAATGCTAAACATTCCACAAATATGTTTGAAGTACGCTATCAGCATCGTGCCTGTTGCTACCATTGCAGTTGCCCCTATGCACAAGGCTGCGTTTGTATGCAAAATAATTAAGTAGGAACAGTTTTCTCGATCAACAAAGTATTCTGTTGCAATATGAATCGCTGCAGAGTGTGATCGGGAATTGTTTATAGCCAGAATTATATCAAATAAACGAGGCCAAATTGGCAGGAAGAGATAAATTGATACGCTACATGCGGCAAATACTAATATTAAATTAGAAAATAAATGATATATAAGTATCAAGAATTTATTTAAGTAAAATTTATTTAAGCTTTTTAAATTTTTTATTGTTATTAATAATTCATTAAAATGTAAGCATATATATATTATCTTACTCGTAATTATTCTCGTTTGATGTTTCCCTATGCGGCCATACTTTTCTATGATAGCTATTTCGTTTTTATTTTTTATTTCGTTACAAACATGCTGAAGTTGTTCTAATGAAACTCTCATCTATTACATCAATAATATTTTATGCAGTTTTCATATAAAATATTTTTAAAATGTCATGTGTATTTGAAGATTTATTTATCACGAATATTTATTTAGAAACTGTATAGTAAATATTTGACTTACAGTATTGGCGTTAATCCAAAACGAATGATATTTAATTGCATAACAAATGAAGAAAAATGCGGAAGACAGAACATTGATAATGAGATCTGTAGTGCATTTTGAAGTCAAAAACGTTGTAAACTGCAAATAAGTAATTCTGTTGAAAATTTTATATTTAAAGAATAATTCCTTATTGTGATTAATAAGTTTCTAATTTTAGTCTGTTAATTATTGTTTTGTATAAAAAAATAACTTATTACGACCTGAAATACAATAAAAGTTGTCAAAATAGTAAAAAGTATAGTAAATTGAATTTGAGCAAGTTTCGATCTCTGGAGAGGCCATAAACCAATCGCAAGCAAAAGAAATCTATTGAATCTGAAGTGTTGTGTCTCGAGACAAATCATCTTTGTAAACACGAACAATACTAAAGTACATTTAATCGTGAAAAAGAAAAAACTGCCTATTCTTTTTTTTCAATTGTATCAAATTAATAATTGCTTGAAAATATTTCAATTTTTCTCTATTACTAAATTGTAACTTCAATTGCTTAATATGCCAGCATTCAAAGCGAAATACAATGTCGCTAGATTAAAGTATACTTACAGTTCAACACTGTTTTATAAGAAAAAGTATGATTAAGCGATCGATATAACATGAAAGAAATTTTACAAGTGTTTATTTCCATGGAAAAATATTCTCATAGAGAAATTCGATAGAGGACCGCGCAAGCGCACTCATCACTCTTCTTTGTAATATGCGTTTCAT